TTAAGAGCAGCACAGAGAACACCCAAGAGAAGCCCCGAAGATACCAGTAGCAGTACAACAATGCACCTACTTAAGGACAGTACAATGTCAACACGTGAGGTGGACGTCAACAGCACAAGCAACAATACAAAACGCACTCACTTAAAGGTAGTACAAAGACAGTGGACAAGAGAGAATAGTTGAACACCCGAGAGCAGCAGCGCAACTGCAGTGCGGCAACAGCACCTACGTGATGTTTGCGCTACTAAGCAGTTATGTGCGTAGAAGAAAGTGGAGGAATTAGAGTGCCCAGTTAAAGGTAGTAGAGACCTCCCACTGCACAGTAACGTGCACAGTAAAGCGAAAAAGGTAGTAGATTAATAGGACTCAACGCAGTAGCACTTTTAACACAGTAGCATTGCGGCCACCAGGCCGCACACTCTTATGGGGATTTAAAGAGAGTGGGAGTTGTAGGACAGTACAGATTTTAGGACAGTGAGCAGTATTATCCACGTTAGTGGACTTGAATCTCTACTGTCCTACAATCTCCATTGTCCTAGAATCCCCATTGTCCTCGAATCCCCATTGTCCTAGAATTTCCACTGTCCTAGAACTTTCACTGTCCTTGAATTCCCATAGTTCACCTACTAACTTTGTATTTTTTTTTTACTTAAAAAATAACCTAATATTTTTTCGTTGAACTTTTATTTTATCTTTATTTTTATTTTAAGTGACGTGATATACAATTGACCTTAAAAAAGTTGTTTAATGAAACTCAGCTAACTTTGGTCAGACAAAACGTATTATTGTAACAGTTTGTTATTTAAAATTATTAACTGCACTAAAAGTTACTTAAGAAACTGTTTTTAATCGTAATTTTTTCTAAATTTAAAATAAAAACAAGACCCAGGTATTTATTTAGTTAGTTAAATTGATTTTGATGCGAAACAACTAATCGTAAGTAATATTTTTTAACTTAATATACGTGATTATATGACAAAACTTTTTTTAGTTGATTAGTTGTAATTATACGGAAGCCGTTTACTGACATACTTCAATGTTTTATCTCATTTCAATTATTGTGGTTGTTATTTATTTAACTAATTTAATTAAGTCTTCCGTATCTTATGATCTTAGTACATTATACTATAAGTTCTTATTTGTCCAAATAAATTTCTTGGTATACCACTATTATAACAAATTAATGTAGTACATCAACTGAAAGAGAAAGTATAATTACAAACTCTCTTAGAACGTGTTTAAGAAAGATAAAGTTATTAAATGTGTGAAGTCTGATCATAGATACTACTATGACCTTATTCATTTTCGTAAAAAATGATGTTATACAAAAAATGACTTGATTCTTAAAGAATTTATAAGGTGAATAAATAACATTTCCATTATTTATACGAAAGAAAAAAAACAGAATACAATTGTGCTTAGAAATCAGAAAAAAATTATTAATAAATCTTATACAGTATTTAGAATTGTTTACAATACTTATTTTATTTAGTTTGATCATTTTAAATTAAAAGTTGGAATTTGTTTTGTTATTTTTTATTAAAATTATAAAACTGCATGATAAATTAAACAAATTGTTATTTAAATACAATTTCCCATATTCGCTAGCTTTCTACTGGTCACAAGTTGGTATGTAGAGCTTGCAGAGGACCAGAATTCCGTAGCGTATGTACGCACTGTGTAGTTGTTTGTGTTGGCATTCTACATAACACTTATACATAACTTATCTAATTTCGGTTTAATCCCCTTACCACTCCCTTCTCTTGACGTAAGCGTTTTTCTGCAGTTTGAGATGTTATTTCTGCTACTTTAAACTATTGGTATCAGATTATTTGCGTATCATTAATGATAAAATATTAAATCTTTTATGCTTAAGCACTATCATAAATATCATGTATTTTTTCTCAGCGAAATAAACTTTTGTGTACTTTATCTCATGTTTTCAAGTAGTACAACAGAAAAGAATATGGTATGTAGTGTCACGTTTAGTAACGTCTACCCACAGTCATTAACAAATACCATAGGATCTTTCTCGCTGAGTGGCCGCACTCACAGATCAATACCAACGAATGCTTGATTAGTCGGAAGCTTAAGCAATTATTGCTCCCTAATTCCATCCCCACCAAATTTGATACCTGGCCTAGGTGTGCAACTGCTCTTTTTTTCCCAAAAATATATTTATCAAATTTACCTTTACTCCTTGGCTCACCACAGGTCCCACCCCTGATTATTGATTCGATTATTATACTAAGGGCTTCAATAAAAACGCCCCCTACGGGCTCGTTCTCTTTCCTAGAAAAGCGGCCGACTAGTAGACAAGTATCCCATATTATTCTAATGAGTCGTATTTATAAGCATTTATCTAACTATAGTATTTGTAATATTTGGGACTAAATTGACTTAGTTTTGCTTATTATTCATTCAATCTTTCTATCTCACGATATTAATTATTCTACGAAATACTTCAACTACTTTAACGGCTATTACAGGAAAGCTGCTGACGTTCAATCATTTATTATTTGCAAAGGTACTGGTAAATAACTTTTAATACTTTAACTAAGTTGCAACACTGCTGAGCATAAACACATTTGCTGTTCACACGCTGTACGCTACATTCAAATGCTCGTGCGCTAAAGTTACGTTGATGAGCCACGACGTAGCAGTAAATTGTTTATTCAAAATAAAGCTAGAAAACGTTTATAATTATACTTTATTTGCATAAAACTTTTTATTCATATTATATCATTGGCACTGAAAAGTTAGTGTCCAAAATGCGAAGAGAAGTGAAGCCTTACTTGACAATTATACACATTCACATTTCTACAAAATATTATGTGCGAAATTTTTTCTTGCCAAAAAAATAAGCACTAACAATTTAAGGGTAACCGTATGCTAAACACAAAATGCAATTCAACTATAGCTGTTTAAAAGTATTAATAGGTTAGCATAAACTGAGTTATTTAACCTATTGACAGTTTTTCCACAACTTATACTTTTATAAGGTGCTAAAAAGTTTGTCTGAACAGAGTTAATGCAAGTAAAATTGTTTTAATTTCCATCAACTTTCAGTTTTAAACTTATTTGATAAGTTATTGTTTTATTTAAATCATTTCTTATGAATATGAAATACAAAAAATAGTATGTTTTTTTTTTTTATGGTATCGCCTTCACAAACGTCTACCTAAAATGAACAAAGTATTTAGGAAACAGAAAAAACAATTGCATCAAGCATTAAGCCGTTGTTTAAACAATAACATGCTTGGACACAACCTGAGCAGAAGAAACTGTGAGTAAGCGTAAAATGCTTACAATTGTTACAACTATTTTTTTTGGACTTCATGTATAGAAAGGATTAGGATCTGCATCAGGAGCATTTGCTAAACATACGTATTGTATTAGTAAAAAGTAATCGAATATAATAATAAAATCCTTATGGCTAACTATGTTCTAAGTTACTATAGACATTGAGATGTATGTCCGAAACATTCTAATTGTATCGAACGTAAAAACTGGGATCAAGAAATCAAATGGAAGTGACAACTGTAAATAAGTAAGCTGTTCTAAGCTGCTTTAAGCTAGTTATATATTATATTTTAACAGTATCATAGGTATAAAACTATAGGGCGTAGATCTTTCTGAAGTTATGCGTTCATGTCTTGTTCTTAGCTACTTATTGCTGCGGATGCTTTACCTATACATATGCATGTCTATATAAGCTATTTTTATGTATTAGTGCAAAACAAATATATAAAATCTTAAACTTGGACAGCTATAAAGAGTGTTGGCAGAATAACACAGACAATATTGTACAAACGATAATCTGACTCTCCATGAGTACCCACAAATATAGATACAATCAACAGGCTTTTTGAACCAGAAGTCAACAGTAATAATAAAACGGAAATTTGTGCTCACACTTTAGTTATTTGTCACCTGGAAAAATGCTGCAATTAGTAGCAACATCCATTTATTTTAACCATATGTATCAAATATAAAAATACCTACGTGTAGCACTGCATCACATTTAACTAGTAAGCAAACTTTTTTAGATGTAGCTAATCATGATCTGCGAAGAGTGAGTTTTCATAATTTCTGGAAGAAATGAAGAGGCACATACTCATGGAGTTACCAATCATGATCTAATAAAATGTTTTTTTTCCATTTGCCTCGTAAGTCTCAGATTTTTAGTTTGCATTTGACCCTATGTTATAATAAAAAAAAGTTATGCTTTGTTCTTATACTTAGAGTAACTACGATGCAAGCTTACCAAAGAGTTGTATTAAAGAAGTCATAAAGAGTTATAATAAGCAAAAGATAAGTGAAAAATTAATTATACTTCTACTACTTATCAAACAAGATTATTTGTTTAGTTTAAATCAAAACAGTAAAAATCATAGTTTATATGGCTAACGTTTGCAATTGCCTTTCTCTATGTTATACTTCTTTTTCTATTTTCCTCTCTCTCACTAACTTTTTTTTCTCACTCATTATTTCTTTATTTTCTCTGTTTTTTCTTATTTTCTGATATAGGCCTCAGGAAGTGCTTGACTCCATTTTCACTAAAACGTCAAAACTTGTACTCTGTTTCTTACCTTGAATAGCAGTTTTTTAGTAATAATATGAATATCGTAAATTAATAGGAGGATTGACACCTCTTTTTCGAAACAAATAAGCTTATAAACTTTTTCACAACACTTCTGAAATGATTACAAAAGTACCGGAAAGTTTGAGGTTTTCCTTATTTTTTCCTTTTCTGATAAAACCAATCGTTTTTATCCAGAAATTTTGCAAGTAAAAAAACCACGATTATCTTTTAACTTAGTATTTTAGAAAGTTTCTCAACATTTGCATCTAATATTTTTTTTTTTATTACCCAAGTACAACTATTTTAATTGCTACCTGCTAGCTTTAATATAAAAAGACTTTAGTATGGACTCAAATAATTTTTATTCTATTTTCTACGAATATACTTTGTTAATAACTGAATACGAATTTTACAGTTGAAAAAGCAACATTGATTGCAAGATTTCTAGACTCTACACCGTTAAAGAAAGAGTGCTCTTTACAAGCAACGTTAGCAAATTTATTCTGTTACCTTATTAATAGTATGGACGACGACAGTGCTTATGTAGCGCAGAAGGCAACCCTTTACCTGGGAACAATTCATGATAGTGCTGCTAAGGTTTGTATTTTATATTAAATATAAATAATACATTTAATGTTTACATGTTAAAATATTAAAAAATTGCGTATAATACAATAAAGTAATTTTATTGCGTTGAATAAATTAATTTATTAAGATAAAAAGCTTTCATAAGCCGGTTAATGTTTATCATTACCAACAGTGTCTTTAATTAACAACTAGCGCTTAGGTAAAAATCTTGTATATCCTTAAATGTTTTTAACTACAAGTGTCGTATTGCACAAAAAAACCACCTAATACGACAACCTGAAAGCAGAGTTTACCGTTTTTCTACAAATAGTCTCATAATAGTAAAGAGATAGCCAGTGCTTACGGTAGAGAGTGTATCACTTTCTTTTCATTGATTCAAGTGACTTGTTGATGCAAACAAGCTGAACTAAATGCACACTTCTAGCAGCGCAGTCGAAGAGAAGACATGAGTGGGTGTATGGCATGTATCTAGTAGATAGCAAAGGACTCTATGTGGGGGCTGCCTTCTGCCTAAGCTGTCTACTGCTGATCTGTTTTCCTCTATAAGTAATATTTATGTATGCAGTGGAACTGCAAAGGCAGCCAAATAAATTCCATAATAAAAAAAAATGAATCAAAACCTTTTGTATCATATCTTAGTAATTATTAACCAGTAGCTTTTTTCGTACAACATGAAAATAAAAAAAGTTGTGTACTAATAACCTAATGTTCTTCTGATTATCTACAGATAATGATGCTTTATTAATGATTTGTTATATGTTTATTTAAACTTTGAACATAACTAACATATTTATGCAACATGAATGTCTGGAAGGAGCAAGTCTTTAAACTAAGCATTTAAAACAAAGTGAATAAAAATATGTAAGGGAAAAAAATATACAGACTTGAGGCAATGAAGAAAGCTTTGATACGAGAAATCGCAAGAAAGCTTGATAAAAGCAAAAAAAAGTTTTAAAGAATAAAAAAAAAAAATTACATACAAATGACAAATGCTATTGCAGAGCCGTCTAAATTATTTTCTTTCCATCGTGAAGAGATTTCTTTTGTAGCCTGGCAAATGTGGTTGTGTCTTTTATTTCTACTGTATTTTTATACTTTTTTCTTTTTTTTTAAAACTTTTTTTTTTTATTCTATCAAGTCATTTTGTATTATCCAATATATCAAAGCTTTTTTAAAATCTAAAATCTTTTTTTTCCAGTGTATTTTAAGATATAATCTCTTTTAACCATTAGATTCTACGCTCAGTACTATAATGCTTCTCTTTCATTCTATATCTAGACAGCACTGTTTTTTTTAATTATGTTGAATTATTGTGCGTTTGTTGCTTTATGAATAGTCTTGAAAAAATTTATTAGTTAAGGTATCTTTTGATATTGAACTTTGTTTTTATTACAATACAATGTTAATAATAAGGTCCATATTTATCAATGGTTTTTCAACTTGAATAGCCGCACAATCATAAACAATAAGCTCGAATATTATCCTTAAGTCATTTAATAGTACTTCATAAATTTAAACAATTATTACCATTAGAAGTCAAAGAAATTTACAAGATTCCTTACCTCAGGATCCTTTAATCAAAAAGTTTATAAAGTTGGACATCGCGACACAAGCTTTAATTAATAGCACTGTCTTCTTATGTTTTTTTTTGTTTTTGACAAACAATACGCTGTTTATAATCTGTGAAATTTTTCTCAAAAAAATACTGTTAAACATCAAACAAGCTTTACGTAGCTTGTAAAACTTTTATCTGAACCAAATGACTTACGAAAAAATTTCTCATTTCTTTGTATTTCAGAATTGTATTAACTATTTTATATACTTGTGAAAGAGCAATTAGATGAAGGCATCAAAAAAGCTCTCTAACTTTAAAAAAAGGTGATGGTGGTGGTA